ATTTTGTGGGCGTTCAATGGTCTTTGTCGGGGTCTTTTCGGGGTTTAGGGAAAAGTGCAAAGGGTGCAGTCACGGCTAGGAGACGGACCGGTAGTGTGAGTGGTCTTCGTAGGCTTTGGGCATTGTACGTCTAGTGGTCGTTTGGTTGGGTCGTTCGGGTTTGTTGTGGACGGCGACCCGGTTTCCTTTTTGGGGGATGACAAATTGTTCGGGGATGGGTGGAAAATGGGCTGCGGGGGGTCATGAAAGTTGCGACGACTCTTCCCGGTTTGTTTTTTCTCTGCCCGCAACAATTACGGCCCAACCACAATGCATCTGACGGCAATCCCTCAGACAAGCATATGTTCGGCACAGCCGGGGCCAAGTCCCACTAGCAGCGTTGAGCTACCTCAACACCTGAATCGGGACGTGTTTGTGGAGACGTGCAGTTCAGGAAACTCAACACCAATTCTGCACATCTCCGCAAAAGCGTCTTAATTCAGGCGTTAAGGTAGCTCAACGCTGCTAGTGGGACTTGGCCCCCAGCCGATCTGTCCGAATCAAAAATCAAAACAGTAAAAAAATTAGAAAAAAAAAATTAAAAAATCAAAGCAGTGGACAGTGAGTTGTAAATGAGCCACGTGCGCCATGAGTCACTTTGCGGATCTCGTCGCCCCTCTGCATGGGAGGGGCGATGGCCAAGTCAATTTCCAACTACCGGTAGCACAGCGAAGCCCTTCTGGTAGTGCAACGACTACMCCCTCGTGTGCCCGCCTGCATGGGACCGTCGATGGCAAAGACCATTTTCAGCTACCGGTAGCAGAACCAAGCTGTACCGGTAGAGCAACAACGTACCCGCAACCGGTCTCCGCTTCCCACGTCCTCAAAACGCACCTACTTACGCCATCGTCACACGGCAGAGACCATTGAAGCTACCGGCAGCGCAGTAGCCCAACCACTTTCTGAGTTCGAACTCAAATCGGTATTTCAATTTTCAATTCAACAGTTCAGGTGTGTACAAACTGAGAGCATACTTTTGGACATAATTTCGGCCAGATACATCCAAGTATGGCCGTGAATACGGTCACATACATTTGAGATACGGCTAGTGTGAGTACTTTCTAGGGGGGCAACGACGACAACGACACCCCAACAGTTCAAAGCCGCCGGGTCAATGACTCTTTTTTTTTTTTTTTTTTTTTTTTTTTTTTAAGTGGTCAATGACTCTTCAGTTGCCCCTCTTCCGAAAAAAAAAAAGAAAAAAGTGCCTAACAATAACAACAACAGACCCGCAAAATTAGTTATTAAATCTCACCCTCTGCTTACTCTTCTAATCCTGTCCCCTCTCTTATCTCCTCTCCCACACCTCCCCTCCGCCCCCCTCCCTTCTTTCGTCATTCCTTACCAGGGTACTCGGTCAGTTATGGTCGCAGTAGGCCAAAGGGACAAACAAGCGTCAGAGCCAACAGGAACTCCCGGACCGGTGGTCCAGCCGGCCGCTTTGGGCCGACGTCAGGCCGTTTTAGGCCTGTTTATTCTCAAGATCAATAGTAGAATTAGAACCCCCCCTGCATAGGCTAGCATAGATAGATCCCCAATCCCCCCTTCCCTGAACCCCCTTATTGTCCCCTTCCACTCCTACTTCACCTATCTCGCCACCCTAGTCCGACCATCTCCTAGTTAATGACCTGTGACTTCAGCCTTCCCCAATCCCAGAGTATTAGTTCCCAGCCCTTACCTTCCCTCACCTTTCTCTTCCTTTGCCTGTTATTACTGGGTACTCTGGTCCCGTCTTTGGTTAGAATAGGTCGAGATCTGTACCTTAGGATTAGACAGTAGGTTAGGACTACGGTAACTTGACATGTCTCTCTCCCTCCCCCTCTTCTCCCCCCCATTCCTTTCTTTTTCTTCTCTTTCTCTCCCCTCTCTTCCTCCTCCTCTTATCTTTCCCCTTCCGCCCTCCTCCTCTTGTAGATGCAACCTTCAAGCTTCCACATTTTCCTCTTAAAACCTCCTAATCTTCTTAAGCTTTTGCTTTACACCTTCCCTTTCATAAAGAGGACAAGACAGGCAACTAAAGCGAACTGGGGTAATGCTCCCTAACCGGTCTTTATGTGGGGTGGCCGGCCCCAATCATTTCAAGTTCAACAATGAGTACCAAGGTTCTTTTACACAAAAAAAAAAAAAAAAAAAAAAAGTTATTAGGGCCTCCGCAACACCACTGTAGAAATGTAGAAACGGGAAAAAGTACCACTGCATGCGCCAGCGAAAAGCGGCAAGATGCATCCGTTGCTATGAATAGTAATGAATGCATCTTTCCATTTTCTGCGGAACCATGCACTTGAGCATTTTCCATTTCGACAGTGGTTTGGCGAGGCGCTTAGTGTTTTCCTTCCTGGACGGACGTGTGTGACCCCAACTGCCGCTCGTTTTCACTGAATGAATGTCACGGCGTTTACGTCCAGATCCAGAGATCTTCAACAAAAGTTCTACCGTGTGAATAACCCAACCCTCCGAAGGAGAACGTTTTCACTGACTGAATGAACCTCACGGCGTTTAGGTCCAGATCCATAGATCTTCAACAAAAGTTCTACCGTTTGAATAACCCAATCCTCCGTAGAACACCCCCCCCTGTCCGCTCCAACTTCTGATGGCGAGATGGAGCGAGCGTGGACCTCATCTGGACCTTGGACCGGGCGTGGACTTCACCTCCTCTGGACCTTTGTTGCGGACGGCGACCCGGTTTCCTTTTTGGGTAACGGAAAATGGTTTGGGGATGGGTGGAAAACAGGGAGCGGGGGGTCATCAGAATCCACGACTCAATCTTTCCAGTTCTTTGTTTCGCTTTGTTGGGTTGGGTGGAAAATGGGCAGCGAAAAGGGGGAAGGGCATTTGTTGGGTTGGGCGGAGGGCACGAAAAGGGCGAACGGCATTGATCTGACTGGCCTCAGGGTGACTGGTCGCTTTGTTTTTTTTTTCGGTGGTGCTTCTTCTTCTTCTTCTTCTTCTTCTTTTTTTTTTTTTTTGGTAAATAGGCCCGTGCGATATCCCTCTATCCTGGCGGTGGTAAGAGAACCGTCAGAATTGAGGGCTTACCTGTCGGGCAGCTCCATCTATTGGTGGGGAGCGGCACCTGCTGGAAAGCGGGTCCAGCGTCCCATTGCTATACATCGTTCCATACAGAGCTTGAATTTTGTTGTTTTCGGGGGCCGAGGTTATTGTTGACTATTCATGGGGTTCGTCCTCCCGCGAGGCTGCTAGCGTCCCCCTACCCTTTTTTGGAGCACCCCTTATCTATCAACCCAGCCCTTATTTTTGCAGCCCCTTTTTGAGTGATGTTGTGTCTGTGTCTGTCATCCCCTTTTTAGAAACCGGGCTGATAGTGGTGCCCTTCCCCTCCCAGAGCGCCCCTTTGTTTATCAGCCCACCCTACTTTAGCAGCCCCTGTAATGTGACTGACCCTTTTAGAATCCCTTAAACCCTGCACCCTGTTCGTCCATATGCACATAGCCTCTGTGGTCCTTAAGATGTAATGTGGCTGCCGCTTTTAGAATCCCTCAAACCCTATACCCTGTTCGTCCATATGCACATAGCCTCTGTGGTCGTTAAGACCACAGAGGCTATGGCGCTTCTTTTTTTTCCCCGTTTTTTTTTCCCCTTTTCTTGAAAATGGGCAGCGAAGAGGCCAAAGGGCATTGATCTGACTGGCCTCAGGCAATTCAAAGTATTTTTTTTTTTTTTTTTTTTTTAATTTTATTTACAAGTGTCATTATCTATCCAGGTTCGAACACGCATCTGTACTAAAAAAACAGGTGAAGCGCCACAGGAGAAAAGCGTAGACCAACCTAAGACTTGTGAGGCCTCTGTCGACGATCGACGAGAGGAGGGGTTTGTCGAGCCCAAGCTCCAGAGAGGGCCTCCCTCCACTACACACCCCTCTACATGCATGTAATCTGTTGTGTAGTGGAACAAGCTGCCTCGCATAGTCATCCCCTCAGCCCCCAACTCTACAATCTCCTACCCCCTGGCTGCGCCCCCGCGCCCCGCGGGGCTACAGTTAGGAATGCGAGATCGTCCATCACCAGAACAAATAGGAGGGGAGTTATTAGGGCCCCTCGCCACACTGATATCTAGGGTGTGCATGACTTGATCCGCACGCTGGCTCGGTAAGCAAACAGAGAGGTGATTGGAATGAGGTAAGGAGGTATTTCTGGAATGTGCATCTTTTGTATGGTAGAGTCAGCTGTTATTAGGAATGCGAGATCCTCCATCACCAGAACAAATAGGAGGGAAGTTATTAGGCCCCCTCGCCACACTGATATCTATGGTGTGCATGACTTGATCCACACGCTGGGGAGCCTGCGTAGGTTCGCGGTTCTTCCCATGGGGCCTGTTGAGAGAAGGCTAACACCTCTTCCCATGGGGCCTGTTGAGAGAAGGCTTACACCTAGTGCACAAAGTGCTCGCTGAAACATGCTTCAACTAGGGCTAAGCGGGGCTCCTGCTTAGCTGTAGTTCCTGCGATGGCACCACCCTCCAAAGATGGTAGAAGGGTGATGGTCCTCAGTGGTGGACACTGAGGTTGGCCTGGGGAAAAAGGCGTGTTGGTGTGGCTCTCAGGCTATAGAATAACACGTAGAGTCATGTATCTGATGCATTATGCGGGATCGGACTGGGAAAGATACCTCTCATACATCCACTCCCAGGGTCCTTATGCTCGGGGGACGAAGGGTAGTTTCCGCAAGCACTGTTCCCCAGCGTTAGGTGGAGACCTTAGGGGCAGGAGCAGACTTACAGCCCCGAGGGACTGCTCCACGAGGGCTGTACGCTGACCCAATACAACTGCCACAGAGGTTTCCAGCGAAAGTCAGAAAACAAATCATAAAAAATCCAACAAACATTCCAAATTGCAAAATGTTCCTTCGGCCCCTATTTTCACTTTCACCGCCTCCGTAGGTGGTGCGCCGCGCCTTGGACGGGGTAAACGCAGGCCCCAGGGCAAAGCTGAAGTGCGAAAGCGCATAAGGGGGAAAGTCCGAACCGAAGTTCGGCCCTGATCTTACAAACGGACCGGGGCAATTTTGGGAAATGATGGTGGCGATTCTGCGGGTGGTTCACATCAAATAGCTCAACAACCACGAACGTCGGTCTTTTCGGCCAGCGTTGGGGAGCTCGACATCAGCGCGAGTGCGGCCGAGAGAGCGAAGAAGCCATCCATCTCCAGGTGCGTGATGCATTTCATCCTTTCTTCAAAGCGATGGTTTTTATCTCCAACCTTATTTGTTATTTGTAAAATATAGAAGCTATTGTTGTCGTCGTCAACGGTAATTGCCTATCCAATGCCTGACATCTTCAAGTCGTTTGCCAGCCCAACTCGAAATAACCATAACCCTAACCCTTGTTACTTCAAAGAGGCAATCGAAGCTCTGGAGATGCTTCCAATCAGCTTCGACTTATCACTTGTTTGGTCTCATTCGACGGGATGGTGTGTTTTAACTCGATAAAATGGTGTTCTCTCTCCCGTCGGTTTCTCTGAACTCTTAAGTGACAACGATGTATTGGTACGTAGCCTGCCAGAAGTGGAAGGCGGGACTCAAAACTTACCAGAGGAAGAGCTGAGAAGAGAGTAGTTGGCGCCATCGTCATGTTGTGTGCGAGCCTTTGAGGAGATGAGATCCGAAACACGAGTGAGCTCACACGTTGCTGGTTACAGCGGATGGATTGGAAGTCCTGAGGTGTTCGTGTAGATGAATCGCATGATGGGGAGTCGTATGCAGGTGGGAACTGTGCGGTCTATGGAATGCGAGAGGTGCAGGGGAGGAGGGGGTCAGCGTTCGAAAGAACGGCACGGTGAAAGTCAGGTGGACGTTAAAGAAAAGCAGCACAGAAGAGCTGTTGCGCAGGAGTGTGTGCGTCGGCTGGTGACAGGAGGCGCCGGCGGAAGAGAAGAGTACCTATCGTGAGGAAGGGCCCGGAAAAATGGGAAGCAGGTTTTCCAGGGTAGGGGAGAGACGTGGGAGGTGGAGTTGTCAAGAGAGGGCTGCAAGGGAAAGGTCGGAGGTGGAGTCGTCAGAGGGCCGCAAGGGAAAGATCGGCGGGAGACTGAGGACTGGATCTCGCGACGTGCAGAACAGAGCTGGGAGAGGTCTCCGAGAGCAGCAGTTGTAGGTGTTGGAAGGAGGGAATATCGGGAAATAAAATCAGTCGACGAGGGGAACGAGGCGTGCGACTTGATTGGGATCTCAGTATACGGTTTTGCTTATGGAAAGTAGATAAGAAAGATTGGGAAATCGTAAGTGAAGAAATGGAGGTGATGTTTTCTTGAGGCTAGGTTTGTTGACGCGGGGACATGCAAAAGATGCAGGACGGGGAGGAATTCCATTTGTTGCACGGCGTGGCAGGTGGAGAAATTGCATTCGACGTGTTAGGCATGCAGATGGTGATGTACGTCTAGGAGTGAAAAGGGGTGGCATGCCGATGCTGATGTACGTCTAGGAATGAGAAGAGGTGCAAGTCGTTAGCATCATCGAAAGGAGTGCGGACACCAAACTCACGGTGATGGTGTCGCGTTCCGTAATACAAATTGGCTGTCCATGACTGCTGAAATTGGTCGTGGGGAATGTCACAGTGCTGTGCGCCCATCAAACCACCGGAATACAGAAGCCCAATTGAACCGTTTGTAATCTTGATCGGAGAGATTGATTGGATCGGGAAAGAGGAAGGGTGGGGATGAGAAAATGAGGGGGTCGTAATCGATGGTCATGGACTGGGTTTTACATGCAAAGCAGGATACTGGGGTAATGGATGGATACGGAGAAAAACCCTAAGGGAGGATGATGCTGCGGCGCGGGGGATGGTGCGTGATTGATTAGGTATGGTTGCGCAGCGATGGGGGAGATCGGCAATGGTGAATACGGGTTGCAAATGACGACAGCGGAAAAGTTGGGGAGATGCCCCTCCGTTGGAGGCAAGGTCTACGTTGCAGTGGGGGAGGGCGAGGGGGCAGGAAAATTGTCTGAGCGCGAAGTGTGTATGGGATGACTGGGAGTGGTGGGCCTTGTAAAGGTCTCTGCTAATGGGCAGTTGAGATGGGTGGCTGGGAAAATTGGTCTTGTGAGTCAAGGTCTAGAACCCCAGGACGAGCGTGGGAAGTTCTACCTCGTTTGTATGCGGCGAGAAAATGGCGTCTAGAGGGGTATGGAAATCTATACGGAAGACATTTAGGGTTGGGGTTAGTGGGGAGGGTGAGGCCGGGAAGAAAGTGAGGAAGAGGCTTGAGGTAAGGTCAGAAGGGGAGCCTCGAGGGAGAGTTGGTGCCAGGAGGGTGCTTGCTTGAAAGAGAGCTCAGACGATGAGAGGACGAGTCCGTGATGAAAAAAACGTGAAGTCGTTGAAGAAGAAAGGTGGGGGGCGGGTGATTGATTATGTATGGTCGGTATCGATGAAGGACGGGTGTTGGGCGAACGAGAGGGTGAACGAAGGTGCGTCCATAGAGCAAGGGTCGGTAGGGGCGGGTTGACGAGATGCAGAAGGGTGAAGGGTGGTGGGTAGTGCAGGAGCCCGGTTTTGGGAAGGGTATGGTAGAGTCGCAGATTTCCTCGATTGAATATAACCATGAGAATGGGTACATACGCCGTGGAGAGTCCTGTAGGAATACGATCATACAGGTGAAACCTTTTTGAGGAGTGTGGAGTGTGATGACTGGGAGTTAAAGAGTTCACGTTGTCGAGGGGGTAAATCAGGAGGCTGCTGAACTAAGGCAGAATGAGGGAATGTGGATGAGGCGGTAAACTTTGCGTAGCGGGAGGGGTTACGAGAAGCTTTGGGATCGTAGTTGTAGTTGGGAAGTTTTTGTGTAGCTCTAGTGGTGGGCAGAAGCTTTGGGATTGGTGGTAGCCGAGGACAGAGGGCAGGTTCGTTAAAGTAGTTGGAATGAGGGTAGCTTCGTTGCTTGTCATTTTGCGAAATTGAGTACATGCAGATATACCCATCAGCTCGGTGAATCTTGGTGGGTTTGGCGTGAGAAAAACGCCGTTGTTGTTTCTCTCTTGCTCGCTTTCAACCCTTGTCACGCTGCATTCGGCGCGCACTTCGCGCCGACCGGACTCTTAACCCTAATTTACGTGCACTCGTCGTGTTCTCGCTGTGTCTTGCTGTGTGCGTTTTTCGATTTTTCCCCTTTTATGCGTGTCACGAAAAGTGTATCTCAACAATTTCAGGTATGTGGGATGGAAGGGCCTCTTCCTCCACGAACATTCGATGAACTAAACTGCTTACATTTTGTGTTATACTCGAACGCCGACAGTATATGTTTCATTAAAAAGGGATACGTCAACAACATTTTTACACGTGGGATGGAAGGGATTCTTCCGCGAACATTCGACGAACTATCTACGTTGTGCTCTGCTCTGACCTCGACTGTATATGTGCGCGATCAGATGTTAGACTTTTTTTTTGTCGATCTGCTTGTGCGCTCTCTTAACCCTACCGGTAGTCTGCTTGTTCGTGCAGTTCGGTTGTCTGTTCTTCAGCGATTTCACGCGGGAAGGAGGCCGAGCCCTCTCAATCCTCGAACAATCGATACCCTTTGCGCGTTTCGCTCTTCTGCTCTTTCTTTTCAATAATTTATGTACGCGATCCGATGATGGGATGCAACTATTTCTTGTTAATTACGAGTGCTTCCTCTTTGATCTTCTTGTCCCTCTGGCGAGCGCTGTCAAGCAATGGATGATGAATGCCAAAGTCAGGACAGTCCTTCCCGTCCTCAAGAACATCTGTAACTTGCGCGTATTTGCGAGCGAGCCGGGTGACCCCGAACTTGCCTTAACTTTTGTTCCCGCTGGGTCCCTTTTCAACGTCGTGGCCAAGTGAAATGTGTATGTTTCTATGTGCAGTGTACAGCTCTCACGTAGTCAGTTGTCGTTAATGACCACGCATTTTAATGGTGCCCCCTCCCCCCCCCCACCCACCCATACACACACACACACAGAGAGAGAGAGAGAGAGAGAGAGAGAGAGAGAGAGAGGTGCTTGGGTCTGTAAACGCGAAACTGGCAAGGTGAGCTAAAGTGATGGGCATGCGGTGTTTCGTTGTCTTGGCATCATTGTTCTTTTCAGGAAGACCACCGATTAGTGAGCACAGCCATCGTCAGCGGTTGGTGAGTCGAAAAGAAAAGAACATTCAAGATGGGTCGCGTTCGCACGAAGACCGTGAAGAAGGCCTCTAGGGTCATCATTGAGAAGTACTACTNCCAATTTTTTTTTTTTTTTTTTTTTTTTTAATTTATGGTGTAATCCACGACGTGAGGGTCTTGTCTGGACGACGGATGACTTTTTTTCTTTTTTTTTTGCCACTTTTTTCCCCCGACCCCGTTTTTCTTTAATTATTTTTTTTATTTATGGTATAATCCACGACAGGAGGGTCTTGTCTCGACGATCGACGATTTTTTTCTTTTTTTTTAGCCACTTTTTCCCCCCGACCCCGAACGGGAGGGTCTGGTCTCAACTACTTTTTTTTTTTCACTATTTTATTTTATTTGGTGTAATCCACGACGGGAGGGTCTTGCCTCGATCTCGACGATCGATGACTTTTTTTCTTTTTTTTTAGCCACTTTTTCCCCCGACCCCGAATATCGAGGGCGTTGTTTGACGATCGACGGGAGGGCCTTTATGGTGTTCGCAGCCAAAGGCTGTGCTTCGATAATAATCCAAGACGGGAGGGTCTTGTCTCGACGACTTCAAACGTCAGTCCATGATACGACTCCATGTCTGGCCGGAATTCTGGTCGTAATTACAGTCAGATACATAAGACAAACAATTATAGTCAGATACATTAGACATTCTCGGAAGAGGTGGTATGGTGTGTGAAAGCGCCCTCAGGTACCTTTTTCCCCCGATTATTTTTTATTTTTTATTTTTTTATGTTATGGTGTAGCCAGATACATCCATGTCTGCTCGAAATTACAATCAAATATAGAGGGCCTTGTCGATGTTATGCTGTAGCCAGATACATCCATGTCTGGGCGGAATTCTGGCCACAATTACAATCAAATCATCAAATACATGCGCGTCGGAAGAATGGTATGGTAGTGTGAGTATGCCCTGAGCTAGAGGGCTTTGTCGACGATCGATGAGTTGAACGTCGAGTCGACGATTCATCGACGACGAGAGGGCCTTGTCGACGACTTGGACTCTCAACTCGACGACTTGAACGTAAGCAGTCGCTGTTGGCTTTAGTTTTTTTCGGTGGCGACGTAGACGTCGTTGACATGGTAGTTAAGGGATAGATGCAAGATAAGTTCATAGGTGCATTAGATAGCTCGATTAGATTTGGGTAGATGCATTGGATTTGAAAATTTGTATTTTCCAAAAATGCGAAGATAAGAAATACCAGATAAGGGAAAAAAATAAGGAAGAAATATGGAATAAGAAAAGAAGGAAAAAATGAAAAGCCATAATAGGTTCCAGGTTGTATTTACGAGGACATGAGCCCCGGTTGCCTTTGGTCTGAGTCGTGCAATGGGTGTTGTGGTGTTCTTTCTATCCATACCAAATATTTTTTCTTTCTGTTATTTTTTGTTATTTTAATTTTGTTATAAGTATACATTGAATATACGTACTATAAAAGGTTAGTATGCAAGCATAAAAAGATGTGCGAAAAAAAGTTCATGCTAGTTGTGCGTTATGTCAAACAGTGCTCTCGTGGTCTCGTAATCACATGTGCAAGTCTGCGAATGCCCGGATAGATGTAAAGGAGAAAGCCATTTTATGAACTAGTGCGTGCACAGACTAGCAGCAGACAACGGGCAGGAGGGTGAGTAGGGGTTGCATTCTTTGTTGGGATTTTGTCGTAGTGTGCGCTTCGAGGTTCTCGTACTGCTGTTGAGATGCGATCTTGACCAAGGATACATACGAGGAAGTGAGAAGAAGAAGGGAAGACAGGGAGTAGGGTCACGAAGCAAGAGGGAGGAAGGAGAGGAGGGAGGAGAAGAAAAAGAAAGAGAAGAAGGGGAAACAACCATCTGGGCATAGATCCGGGATTTTGTCCTTGAGTTGCAAGCCACTCTCTGCATTGCTTCAAGGTAGTTGTGAGTTGTGAAGGACTGACCAGCCGATTGCTGGTAGTAAATAAAAGGTCAGGGAACGTTGTTTTCAACTCTCCGGACGAGTTATTCTAACGACAACGACTGGTATGAAGGAGCGAGAAAAAGAACCGGTATGTTTCGAATTTTATCGCCCACCTTATTCTACTTCTACTAAAAGGAGGAGCAAGTCCGTGCTATAGAATGGAAGGTCATTACGAATATTGTCGTAGTGAAGGTATGTTGTGTTTAAGGGAAGATATCCAGCGTTTTATCTTTCATATAACTTTCTTTGACCGATGATACCTTGTGTCCGTAAAGCCTGGTTGGCACCAAGAATGTCCGTGTGTTTCTACATGCTGAAACGAGCGGGGCAGAATGTCAAATAACTAGAAACAAAAAGAAAACAAAAAGATCAATGTCGTTGGGCTGTAAAAGAACAACACACTCACAGAATGTATGTTTGGATGCCAGCATGTAGTATACCCGATTTTGTTTCTTAGTTTTTTGCTGGTAAAAAAAGAAAAAAAGAATAATGTCTGCTATATCTGATGTCACCCCCCGTGAGAAACGAGGAGGATCTAAGTGGTTAACACAGAACGGGAAAGTGCCAAGAAATAAAAAAAAAGAAAAGAAACAAACAAACAAACAAACAAAGGAAGAACAACACTCTTACGGAATATATCTTCCCGTTTTTATGGTCTGCTACGTATGAATCTAGAGGCCCGCATGTAGTATACCCGATTTCATTTCTTCGTTTTTTTGCTGGTAAAAAAAAAAAAAAAGGAATAACATTTGTTTTATCTGATGTGGCTCCCCGTGAGAAACGGGGACGATCCAAGTGCATGTTACAGAACGGGAAAGTGCAAAGAAATAAAAAAAAGAAAAAAAAAAAAAAGAAAAAACAAACAAAAGAGGAACAACACTCTCACAGAATGTATCTTACCATTTTTATGGTCTGCTACATATAAATCTGAAGGCCAGCTCCTTTCTTGTTTTTTTCCTCGTAACAAAAAAAACAAAAAACTTGAATGTCTGTTGTATCTGATGTGGTTCCCCGTGAGAAACGAGGAACACTAGCTATAGACGGAGGAGTAGTCGAAGCTCAAACTAGGCTATGGAGATAAGAGGAACACAACGCTTCGGACTTCATCTGGCCAACAATCCGGGACCAACACATTTTCAAACGAATCCGCTCTTTACGACGAGTTTTTTTTTCATATGCCCCTCCAACACTTAGCATTTCTAAAAAACATAAATATATTATATTTGGTTCTCATAAGCTTCAATTTTTTTTTTCTTAATTTGACAAATAAATTCCCACTTCCAGCAAACATTTCATAATTACTAATTATAACCGAAAAAAACAGTAACGCATGCATTTCGTAATTATTCGTATTTTTTTTTTGTCGACAAGCAGCGAAACTCTTTTTTATTGAGGAATTACACCTACTACAGATGAATCAAATCATATTCGTTTTTTGACCCTTTCAGAAAATCCATATACCCGTCGAATTCACAAAAGTGACAGAAAAGTGACAAAACCCATTGGTTGAAAAAAAATCAAAAGTGACTTTGCAACATTCTGATAACTATAGCAGGGAAGGAGGTGAGTGCCCACTAGCTATGGACAGAGGAGTAAGCAAGGCTTAAACCAGACTATAGAGAGAGGAGGACAACAGTAGTAGGATAGAGGAGGAAGAGAGAGGAAGGAACTGAGAGGAAGACTGGCTGAGCTTGAACTTCACCGTGGAGATAGGATATGGCAGTGTCGAGACTAGCTGGACTTGGACTTCATGGCAGAGAGTATCCGCCATAGCTACCAGCTCAAAAGCTGGTGACGAGAAAGACACGCCACATCTATAGCAGAAGGAGGATGAAACATTAAGTTGTCTTTTCGGATTCCGTGACTGGGAGACATGATCCACCATAGCTACCAGCTCAGCAAGGTGCTGAGGGGAGACAGAGAAAGAGAGAAAAAAAAAAAAAAACGAAACAGAGAGAGAAAGACAGAGAGACAAAAAGAGAAACAGAAAAAGATAGAGAAACACAAAGAGAGAGAGAGAGCGTTGTCGAGTGTTAATAGCCATAACTGCTCAGTGACATACATGGGACTCGTTGTAAAGTAGTAGGAAGAAGATGCATTAGGTTGTCCTTTGGTCATCTGTGCATGGTAGACATAATCCACCATAGCTACGGGTTAAGCAAGGTGGTGAGAAGAGAGAGACAGAAAGAGAGAGAAAGAGAGAGACAGAGAGAGAGTGCGCTGCCCAGTGTTCAACAACGTGGTGAGGAGAGAGAGAGAGAGAGAGAGAGAGAGAGAGAGAGAGAGAGAGAGAGAGAGAGAGAGAGATGTCGAGTGTTGGTGGCCATAGTTGCTCACTAACATAGATGAGACTCACTGTATGAGGAAGAAGCATTGGGTTGTCCTTTGGTCATTTGTGCATGGCAGACATGATCCAGTATAGCTACGGGTTCAGCAAAATGATGATAGAGGAGAAAGAGACACAGATAGACAGACAGAGACAGAGAGAGAAAGAGACAAAAAGACAGAGAGACAGAGAGAGAGACAAAGCGCGCTCGATTGTAGGTGGCCATAGCCTCTCAGTAACATACATGAGAGTCATTGTGAAAAACTTTGAATTTTCAAGCAGCAAAAAAGTTGGAACTTCCAATTTTTGTTATATCGTGTTGCAGCGCATTTGTCGTGCGTGAAGTTCTTGTGACGAAGGTTGAACATGATGTGATGTGTCAAAAACTATGTGAATTTGTGGATCATTGCGACTCGGTGAAAATGGGCAATGACTCGTATGCAATCAAAGTCGTTTCATTCACCAACTTGCATGCATACAACAGGTGGCAAACAGTCTGCTGCCAAGCGCCCAGTCAAAGCTCAGAGATATGGAACTCGAAACACAATTCAGATGCAACTTCGTTTGAACAGGCTATGACGGCAATACGCCTGCACATCCACTCGACACTGTGTCTTTCACTGTCGCACACACGCCCGCTTACTTAGGATCACCCTGGACACGCTGCACACACACTCTAAGTTCGCACACACACACACACACACATACTGTATTCTACAACTATGGCGGCTATGACCGCCGTCTCTAACCTCAGCTACGCCTAGACTATCTCCTTGACTCCACTTCGTCCGCGGGCAATTTGCAGACCACCCACATATTCAATGTTCGACATAACAAAAAAAGAAAACAAGGCAGAAGAGGTCAATAGATCGGGAGTTTGTGACAGACCATAGAGTGTTGTTTTATACCCATGCAACTGTCTTATTAACAGACCATTAGAGTGTTGTATCTGACCCAGATAACATTTTAGTAACAACTTTTCGGAATGTTATCTCATACACTGATTGCAGTTTTAGTGACTGACTGTTGGACGGTTGTCTCTGAATCAGACAACAGTATTACTTACAACTGATAGGACTGTTGTCTGGGACTCAGACAATAGTCAATGTTTTCGGCGAACCTACATCCACTGATCTGGAAGCAATATCGTCTCTATGCTGTTTTGGGGCGTGAGCGTCACGAGCTACAAACATGGAGAAATAAACAAATTAAGAACATAAACAACAATCAAACAAACACTATAAAGAGAATCAAAACAACAAACTGAGTTACAAGTTACAACATGCAAGGGCAATGTAGCTCCCTTTCTGTTGTGCATGTGCACAGAGGGATCTCTATGTCAAATGCATCCTTTGAGTGCGACTTTCCATGTTAAGTGCATTCTCTGAGTGCGGCTTTCCAAGAATCAGATTGGTCCATTTCAGGTGTTTGTCAGGTTATATCATCGTTTCTCTTTAGTCTGGTGATTAGTCGGCCTGCACAATCATCAGAGATGGACCGAGAAGATCTCACAATTCTTTTTTCCTTTCCTTCAGTCTTCCTCCATCTTCTTCCATTTTCCTCGCCTTGTCCCCTTCATCTTGTGTTTTCTTCTTTTCAAATCCCCTTCCTATCTTTTTGTCAATCTTCGGTCTAAATTCTTCTCGTCTACAATCCTTTCAACCATTTCTTGGTCATAATCACTTAACACTTACGAATATATCTGGTAGTGATCACTTCTAGATATATGCTCCAAGCATATTAGAACATTGAAATATATACTAGCATCTTTGTCTCTTTGATGCGTACATGTGTGTGTATGTGTGCTGATTACATGACATACGACCTGACACAAAACGAGCAAAAGCAAATGAATCTACTACTAAATCATGGAAAATATACACTACAGTAAATGTGTGTGTATATGCGTGTCTGAGGTAGAGAGAGAAACACGAGAAAAATAAAGTAAGGAGAAGTACTTGTCTTCACAATGAAATAAGTCGAATATGGTTAAATAAACGTTGATGAGATATTCTTTGAACATGACACAAAATGAAAAAAATAATTGCCGATTATTAATATATTTATTTCAACTTGTTTTTAGTTTTCATACATACATCACTATGTTCTCAACTATAATTCCTTATTGTTATCATCATTACTCAATTATCATCACTATACTTTCGTTTTTGCAAGTATAATATATTTTAATATATTAATATAAAAATTAAAAGTTAATTTGTTATCCTACATTTTACTATAAAATATAGCAATATTCAATTCTTAATATAAACTTATGCGTCGTCCTAAGTTGTCTCTTGATTTTTTTTCTTCTAACTCTTGCGTGACATAGCCGGGAGGGGCCTCGCTCACTCGGGGGCCGACGCGCTCGACAACGTCGGCTGGTGACAGGAGACGCCGGCGGAAGAGAAGAGTACCTATCGTGAGGAAGGGCCCGGAAAAATGGGAAGCAGGTTTTCCAGGGTAGGGGAGAGACGTGGGAGGTGGAGTCGTCAAGAAAGGGCTGCAAGGGAAACGTCGGAGGTGGAGTCGTCAGAGAGGGCTGTAAGGGAAAGATCGGCGGGAGACTGACGGGAGCTCGCGACGTGCAGAACAGAGCTGGGAGGTCTCCGAGAGCAGCAGTTGTAGAAGGTGTTGGAAGGAGGGAATATCGGAAAATAAAATCAGTCGACGAGGGAACGAGGCGTGCGACTTGATTGGGATCTCAGTACACGGTTTTGCTTAGGGAAAGTAGATAAGAAAGATTGGGAAATCGTAAGTGAAGAATTGGAGGGGTGATGTTCTTTTAGGCTAGGTTTGTTGACGCGGGGACATGCAAAAGATGCAGGACGGGGAGGAATTCCACTTGTTGCACGGCGTGGCAGGTGGAGAATAAATTTTCATTCCACGTGTTAGGCATGCAGATGGTGATCTACGTCTAGGAGTGAAAAGGGGTGGCATGCAGATGGTGATGTACGTGTAGGAATGAGAAGGGGTGCAAGTCGTTAGCATCATCGAAAGCAGTGCGGGCCCCCAACTCACGGTGATGGTGTCGCGTTCCGTAATATAAATTGGCTGTCCATGACTGTTGAAATTGGTCGTGAGGAATGTCACAGTGCTGTGCGCCCATCAAACCACCGGAATACAAAACCCCAATTGAGTCGTTTGTAATCTTGATCGGAGAGATTGATTGGATCGGGTAAGAGGAAGGGTGGGGATGAGAAAACGAGGGGGTTGTAATCGATGGTCATGGAACTGGGTCTTACATGCAAAGCAGGATACTGGGGTAATGGATGGATACAGAGAGAAACCCTAAGGGAGGATGATGCTGCGGCGCGGGGGATGGTGCGTGATTGATTAGGTATGGTTGCGCAGCGACGGGGAAGATTGGCAATGGTGAATGCGGGTTGCAAACGACGACAGCGGAAAAGTTGGGGAGATGCCTCCATTGGAGGCAAGGTCTACGTTGCAGTGGGGGAGGGCGAGGGGGGAGGAAAATTGTCTGAGCGCGAAGTGTGTATGGGATGACTGGGAGTGGTGGGGCTTGTAAAGGTCTCTGCTAATGGGCAGTTGAGATGGGTGGCTGGGAATTGGTCTTGTGAGGCAAGGGGGCTAGAACCCCAGGATGAGCGTGGGAAGTTCTACCTCGTTTGTATGCGGCGAGAAATGGCGTCTAGAGGGGTATGGAAATCTATACGGAAGACATTTAGGGTTGGGGTTAGTGGGGAGGGTGAGGCCGGGAAGAAGGTGAGTAGAGAGGCTTGAGGTAAGGTCAGAAGGCGAGTCTCGAGGGAGAGTTGGTGCCAGGAGGGTGCTTGAAAGAGAGCTCAGACGATGAGAGGACGAGTCCGTGATGAGAAAAACGTGAAGTCGTTGAAGAAGAAACGTGGCGGGCGGGTGATTATGTATGGTCGGTATCGATGAAGGACGGGTGTTGGGCAAACGAGAGGGTGAACGAAGATGAGTCCATAGAGCAAGGGTCGGTAGGGGCGGGTTGATTAGATGCAGAAGGGTGAAGGGTGGTGGGTAGTGCAGGAGCCCGGTTTTGGGAAGGGTATGGTAGAGTGGCAGATTTCCTCGATTGAATATAATCATGAAAATGGGTACATACGCCGTGGAAAGTCCTGTAGGAATACGATCATACAGGTCTTGTGAAACCTGAGGAGTGTGGAGTGTGATGACTGGGAGGTAAAGAGTCCACGTTGTGGAGGGGGTAAATTAGGAGGCTTCTGAACGAAGGCAGAATGAGGGAATGTGGATGAGGCGGTAAACTTTGCGTAGCGGGAGGGGTTACGAGAAGCTTTGGGATCGTAGTTGCTGTAGTGGGGGAAAGCTTTTGTGTACCTAGAGTGCTGGGCGGAAGCTTTGGGATCGGTGGTAGCCGAGGACAGAGGGCAGGCTCGTTAAAGTAGTTGGAATGAGGGTAGCTTCGTTGCTTGTCATTTTGCGAAATTGAGTATATGCAGATACCCATCAGCTCGGTGAATCTTGGTGGGTTTGGAGTGAGGAAGACGTCGTTGTTTCTCTCTTGCTCGCTTTCAACCCTTGTCACGCTGCATTCGGCGCGCACTTCGCGCCGAGCGGACTCTTAACCCTAATTTACGTGCACTCGTCGTGTTCTCGCTGTGTCTTGCTGTGCGTTTTTTAATTTTTTCCCTTTTATGCGGGTCACGAAAAGTGTATCTGAACAATTTCACGTATGTGGGATGGAAGGGCCTCTTTCTCCACGAACAATCGATGAATTAAACTGCTTAACAATTTGTGTTATGCCCGAACGCCGACAGTATATGTTTCATTAAAAACGGATACGTCAACAACCTTTTTTACACGTGGGATGGAAGGGATTCTTCCGCGAACGTTCGACGAACTATCCACGTTGTGCTGTGCTCTGACCTCGACTGTATATGTGCGCGATCAGATGTAAGACTGTTTTTTTTGTCCATCTGCTTGTGGGCTCTCTTAACCCTACCGGTAGTCTGTTTGTGCGTGCAGTTCGGTTGTCTGTTCTTCAGCGATTTCACGCGGGAAGGAGGCCGAGCCCTCTCAATCCTCGAACAATCGATACCCTTTGCGCGTTTCGTTATTCTGCTCTCTCTTTTCAATAATTTATGGACGCGATCTGATGATGAGATGCAACTATTTCTTGTTAATTACGAGTGCGTCCTCTTTGATCTTCTTGTCCCTCTGACAAGCGCTGTCAAGCAATGGATGATGAATGCCAAAGTCAGTACAGTCCTTCCCGTCCGCAAGAACATCTGTAACATGCGCATATTTGCGAGCGAGCCGGGTGACCCCGAACTTGCCTTAACAACTTTTTGTTCCCGCTGGGTCCTTTTCAACGTCGTGGCCAAGTGAAATGTGTACGTTTCTATATATAGTGTACAGCTCTCACGTAGTCAATTGTCGTTAATTACCACGCATTTCAATGGTGCCCCCTCTGCCCCCCCACTCACCCACCCACACACACACGCAGAGAGAGAGAGAGAGAGAGAGAGAGAGAGAGAGAGAGAGAGAGAGAGGTGCGCGGGTCTGTAAACGCGAATCTGGCAAGGTGAGCTAAAGTGATGGGCATGCGGTGTTTCGTTGTCTTGGCATCATTGTTCTTTTCAGGAGGACCACCGATTAGTGAGCACAGCCATCGTCAGCGATTGGTGAGTCGAAAAGAAAAGAACATTCAAGATGGGTCGCGTTCGCACGAAGACCGTGAAGAAGGCCTCTAGGGTCATCATTGAGAAGTACTACTCTCGGATGACTCTGGACTTCCAAACGAACAAGAAGATTGCCGAGGAGGTGGCCATTATTCCTTCCAAGAGGCTGCGAAACAAAATTGCGGGCTTTGCTACGCATCTGATGAAGCGTATCCAGAGGGGTCCCGTCCGTGGAATCTCATTGAAACTGCAGGAGGAAGAGCGTGAGAGGAGGATGGACTTCGTTCCTGAGGAGTCGGCGATCAAGACCGATGTCATCGAGGTCGACCGCGACACGATGGAAATGCTCAGGGCGTTGAATATGGCAAGCCTTCCCGGTGTCGTCCAGCAGGCAGCGACAAACACTGGTGGCTTTGGTGGTGCTGGGCGCCCGCAGGGTGGTGGGTTTCAGGCGGGGGGCGGCGGGGGATTCCAGGGCAGGCGCCAGTGAGCAATGAGCAATGAGCACTGGTGTTGTCCAGCAGGCAGCGACAAATACTGGCTTTGGTGGTAGCTGGGCGCCCGCAGGGTGGTGGGTTTCGGGCAGGGGGCGGCGGGGGATTCCAGGGCAGGCGGCAATGAGCAATGAGCAGTGAGCAGTGAGCAGTGGAGGGAGGATGACAGCATTTTGTCTAATATCCTACGGGGAGGAGGGAGGAACAGAGTGGTCCGCTTCTTTAACAACTATAAAGAATGACCGTTGCCTATCGTGGCCTTCGCTGCCGCGACTAAGTGTTTCTTAGAGAAAGATGGGAAGGGCTTCGTTTGCCTCCGGTGTCGTTATGCACGAGCTAGCTTTTCGATTCCCTCTGTGAAATGTGTTTTCCTCAGTTCACTTTTTTTGGATGAATGTGAGTCCATGTCCCATTGATGAGTGACATCTTCTTGCATCTGGGTCCTTAACCTTCTACCGTTGGGTTCGACTTTTTGTGTCCTGTGCCCTTACAGCACTCTTTTGACCAGCTCGGTTGGGTGTGTGCTACCGTTTTCTACCCTGATAATGCATGTATACAAGCTATCTTTCTGGTTTGGTACCGCTGTAAAGTGGCACTCGTTGTTCAGCTTGGTGAGTGGGTATTTGCTACCGTGTTTCCCTGAGCATAATTCCACACTGATAATGCACGTATACATGCTATTTTTCTGGTTTGGTACTGCAATAAAATGGCACTGTCTATCCTGCTTGGTGGTCGGATGTTTTCTACCCTTGTTCCCGTGAACACAACGCACACTGATGATGCATGTATACAAGTCCATTCCGCAGTGATAATGCATGTATACAATCTATCTTTATGGTTGGGAACATGCTTAAAGTGGTTGCGTAGTATACAAGTTGATCCCACACTGATAATACATGTATACAAGCTATCTTTCTGGTTTGGAACATGCGTAAAGTGGTTGCGTAAGGTTGGGGGAAGTCGGTAGTTTTTTGGAATCTATATCAGTACTCCAAATCGTGGATCGAAACGCGAATGGCATATAAGACTGAACTAGCAAGGGTGGCCTTCTTGCTTTGGTTTGCCAGAACATTCAAAAAATGACAATGCGAGTCCTTGAATGCAATCATCAGAATGGTAGAAGCGTCACGGAGATGCACGTGCGTGGAAAACAAAATGGACCTGGAGCATAACCGCCTCCTCGACGCACACGTACACGATCGCTTAAAATGAGTATTGTATTATAGCGCTCGGCTATACTTTTTTCGCTTTGAGGAATGTCACCGTATTCGATGAACTAGAAAAAAATGCATCGAGTGACAGATGCATCGGATGCAAGTCACGCAGACAAGTACGCACACGCACACTCACGCACGGGGGGAGAGACAGTGATAGAGAGCGCGCGCGCGCGCGCGCGATCGATCGAGCGAGCGATCGATCGACACACAGAGAGAGAGAGAGAGAGAGAGAGGGAGTACATGTTAATAGGGGCTCGCGGGAATAATCTCGAATGTACTCGTTAGCAGGTGCGTAGCATTGTGTTTCCTCGATTCTCTCAGCATGTACACTAGGGATCGCATGCATGTAGACCTACCCCTCGGCGAGATTTAACCTTTAGACGGACAGGGTAACTGGCAGGTGGTTAACGAGGTCTTGAGTGGAGCCCCGCTGTTTCTTTTGTCCGGCAGGTATTCCTCGCCGTCGTACATCATCCGTCTCTTGCTTGCGCAGAACAAACCTTTGTTTCTATTGTGGCGTTTCATTTACGTGTAGTGTGTTTTTTGCTTGTATACGACGCAAATTGCCAGGCTTGCAAATCCTTGTAAGTTGATATGCTGACGGTTCGTGGGCATCTCGGCACGTTTCTGAGATTCTTCTTCGCGGTGTATCGCAGCCAAGCAGAAGCATTGATATACTGTTTGCATTCTTACCTTAGGGTTCTGTCGTACGCTGTTATTAGAGCTCTTACGGACCGCGCAGACCGCGAGCTCTATGTCATGTTCTCCGCTCCGTGCTTACCTCTCGCGGTGCTGCCTCAGCCGCAATTACGGCCAGATTCGTTTAAAAAATCTATAGCACGCGCTTGTCCCTTTGCCTAATTGAGGAGAAGGTCTCTGTGCTCTCTCTGATTCTCTCTATGACCTCTCTGACTGGGATGGCAGCCAGATCCCAAACATCGATTCGATGGCTGCGTTTCCCTAGATCTCCTTTCTCTGTTGTTGTGTGTGTGTGTGAGAGAGAGAGAGAGAGAGAGAGAGAGAGAGAGAGAGAGAGTTGATTGATGATGACAGTGATCACGAGGATGCGCTATGATTGTTCGGTCTCTTTCCTTGTGTGTGTGTGTGAGAGAGAGAGAGAGAGAGAGAGGGAGTTGATTGATGATGACAGTGGGCACGAGGATGATCTCATTGGGATGGTTGCGGTTTCTGCCAACGGGTTTCCGAAGTCTGCGTAAAGCGGTTGTCGAGTTCGCCCCCTTTCGGCTTTCATTCGTGTGCACTTGATTAGTCAGGCATAGATTGAACTTGTACATCCCACACGGTAGAAGCAACCTGCGCCGCAAATGAAAGCGCAGAACAACACAGCGAAATGTGATGTGCGGCGTTTCCTTTGTTTCTCGGGATTATCCATGTCTGTGTAGGGTGGCGACGTTGTGCATAGTCTCCTCTCTGCCGTGTCGACGTGATTAGCTGTGTCTGTCTATCGGCTATTCTGTTTCCTCCATTCTTTTTCAATCACCTATTTCTTTTCGATGCTTAGCGGCTGGCATGTACGAACGATTAAATGCATCTCTTCTCTTCCGTGTGGGTAAGCGGATCCCATTGAAAAGATTGATTAACCTTTGTCCAGATCCCCTTTCCCGTGGGGACCACACTCTGTGGTCTTGTTGTTGGTACGGATTCACGAACAGATTCATGAACAGTTGTGAACCTGATGATGCGTCTGTCTCTCTCTCTTCCCCGGAGATGATGCGGGCATAAGATGGAAGCTACAGAATGACATCATGCAGTTAGCTTTTGGACTTCCGATGTGGGAGAATGAGAATGAATTTGAACTAGAAAAGAGACTGAAGGAAGGCTCGTTTCTGATCGCGGTAGAAGCAGAAAGAGTGCGGACAATGTTAAGGGGAAGAAGAGCGAGGGGAAGTATTGGAAGTCTTGAGACCCACGAGGGAAAGGTTCGGTGTAAGTGGAGAAAGAGAGAGAAGACGACTGTGGTTGACATTACGTACGACCATGAAGACGAGGACGAATAATTGCTGTCGTCACCGGAATAGAACGCACGGTCATTATAGCTCTAGCGAGACTGAATGGTAGCCAAAAAAGTACCGGGCGTTCTATTCGGGTGAAGACGGTAGTAACGAGAGGGGAAAGAGGGCAATGGCAATGAAAGAGATCGAGATAGTGATGTTGTCCACCCCAGCGGTGTACACGAGGGGGGGGTGATGTTGTGTGGTGTGGAGGAGAAGAGGAGAGAGAGTTTCACACTTGCAGAAACGCGAAAAGCATAAATGAGCGGAGTTATCTATATCGCTTTGTGTTTGTAGTGATGTAGAAACGACGGTGGTGCTGATGAATCGGAGAGTGACAAGTGGTATTATAAGGGAACGCGGCGATGTGGACGGTGATCGTGAGGTAGATCATGCGTTAGACGCGCTGATGACGAGATTGATTGGAATGCTGACTGATTAGGGCAGGAGGACAACATGAGCGTAGTAGGCAGCAACCTCTTTTTACTAATGCGGCGGTGCTTTCTGAAGTCGATGCGTGTAGCTAGCTAGCGGGGCGAGTTGATTAGTGATGATCAACATCGAAACATCGATATGCTTAATGATGTAGAAAAGACGTGGTAATGATAATGTGATGATGATGTGATGATGATTTGATGATGATGATCCATAACGGATTTGACGGCCATGATGTCAAGTATGGTTCATTGCCTTCGCCTTCCCTACTGATCTTTTCATCCTCTCTTTCATCCTCTCTATCCTCCTCTCTGCTGATTTATCAAGGCGATTATTGATACTGTTGCAACAAATCGCTGTTGTGGAGTTCGTGGCCAGTCATTCGATACCAGCGTTCACCATCGCGGCCAGTGGCCAGTCGTTCGATACCAGCGTTCACCATCGGGGCTAGTGGTGATAGTTTGTACCACATTTCGATGGGCGACTGATTTTCACAGAGGTGGTGGTCGTAAAAGATGGTTGATCAATGACTGGCCTTACTCTTTAATGTTATTGTGGCTTTTGTTTGGTTATAATCGCTTACCACCTATCTTCTGTTGTGTGATGCCGTGGTCCCTGTATACCGCGTAACACCCCGTCGTCTTTTTGTGCTCGCTCGCTTATTTGCAACACTAGTTCTGTCGTGGGAAGTAAGAATTTGATCCTTACGGTATCCCGTTAATTAACCTTGTGATTGGTTCTCTTTTGGTGTCTTCCCCGATCTCCGAACTGCGGCGGGCCCTATAGAATTCGAGCCTCGAGCCTCACAACATGCGGGCCCTATAGAATTCCAGCCTGACCCTATAGAATTCGAGCCTCACGACATCCGTTCGTTAAATGACCTTGCAAGTACTTTTTTTTTGTTTTCTTCGCGGATCTCCAGACTCCGATGGGCCCTATTTTGGGAGCTGGAGGGTGCTATCCCCGAGACCCTATTCGAGGCCGGTACCGGTCATTTATGGGAAGAAGGGGTCCCGGGGTACCAGGTTCCGTGGGATGGACGTGCGATGGGCCTCACGCGGACACATGGCGTCGTGCGCTGATGTCCAACGCGGCTTTCTTTTTTTTTTTCTCCTTTTTTTTTTTTTTTCCGAGGTACCGTGATAGACTTTGGTTTGCAGCTCCAGTCGGCAGCAGCGTGGGCCGCACACAGACTGTGTCGCAACCTACGGATCGCGTGCGGGACTGCATTCAATGCCTGCCCCGTGCGGGCGCGACTGCCTTTCTGTAAATGGTGCTACCAGATGGGGGTAGATGCGTGCATGGCATGTCGACGCCTTTCTCTCGCGTGCGGGACTGCATTCAATGCCTGCCCCGTGCGGGCGCGACTGCCTTTCTGTAAATGGTGCTACCAGATCGGGGGTAGATGCATGCATGGCACGTCGTCGCCTTTCTCCTACCCAACAACATCCCCGCCTTATCAACCCCCACCCACTCCGCTTCCACGCGTGGCTCCTCCCGGACACCTCTTCTCCTCTCTATGCATGATGAAGATGCGCGAATTCCGTGTTCGAGTGTGTATGTACGTCCTCTAGCGCTGATGGCATTAGGTACCTGTTGTTTTGTGTAGAGGTGTGGGAGAATGGTGGGGTGTGTCTTGTCGACATACTTGTTGACATATTTATAAATGCTCTCTTACTGTATCTCTCTGTGTATTTGTTTCCCTTTCTATTGCTCTCGCTAAAGTGGCACAACATTCTAACTGTTTGTGGACCTGTTAGACGTTGGACACATTCAACAGGGGGTTCCGATACATTAAAAAATATTCAATCAGTCCCAATGCATCTGGTGAAGTGCCAGTCCAGGTACTTGTGGAATATTGACTAGTGATGTGAGGCGTGACTGTTCCCGCCGAACGGTGAACAAACAAACAAACAAGGCCATGCAGTACTGCGGCTATGTTGAAAATATTCACCATGTGCCTAGTTAGTGAGGGGCGGATTATCCCCCAAAGTTTCTGAAATGTCCTGTTGGAATGTAAGTCTTTGCTATCTACCCCTGCGAGGGCTGTGTGCAAGCTTGCATTCTGCCCCTGATGGGGTTATGACACAAATTTGGCAACCCTGTCGCTGGTGTGTAACCCGAATCTTGGAATCCAAGAGGGCATCTGATGCAAAACTTCGAATTCGGAGTATCCCATTGACTTACCGTGAGGGCACGGGTGCGCAGCCCGTAGTTTGTTTGTTGATG